CAGGAAACATCATTTCTTCATAACATACTGCCATGCTGACAAGTGCTCGGTCAACTGTTTCAATTGGTGACGTGGGATCGAGAAGAAACTTGGCATGACAGCGGAAACTTGCGTGATTTAACTCCTAGAATAACATGCCTAACCGACATATTTGCATGTGGATCATCCAAGTTCGGTTCTTGTGGAACCCTTTCACACCGAGCTTTGTACAGATTTTCTTGTTTGTTTAGTTGATCTCTGAATTGTTCCATTTCCTGTTCTTTTTCAATCTCAGTTTGCTGGTCTCGAAATAAAGATTCCCTGAATTCGGCATCTTGCTGTTCCCGCAGTCTGCTTCTTTCTAGCGATGACCCAAGAAGAATGGCGCTGGATTGGCATTCATGATCTGGACTGTCAAAAGCAGGTGGCAATTCAAAAGCAGATGGTAATTCATCCTCACTGTTGCTTAGGGAAACTCTTTCATTTCCTTCCTCCAATTTGGACAATAAATATATTCTTGCTTTGGACAACTTGTGCTGTGTAATGTATCTCGCTAAAGTAAAGCCCTCATCTTTTATTTCCTCGCATTTGAAGTTTCCTAACTCGAATTTCATAGCACAAGCATCCCCAAAAACACTACTTCCATTTATAAAGAAGATAGATATCATTTCTTTAAGTATCTCTTCTTTTGTAGAACAAACTGGGAGATTGATATCTCGAGCTCCTCCACTTTGTCCCATACGAACAGACACATATCTATTTCGGTTATCGTCAAAATGTTGCCAACCGACAGAAATCTTGCGATTTGGTGTTTTAACCGGTGGCGATGCGGGCACATTTTCCAATTTCTTTTTAGAGATCTTATTCCTTGGCAGCTTTGACTTCAAGGTCTGAAGGAGTTTTCTTTTTTTTTTCTGTTCTCTCTTCCTTAGTTGCTTCATTGTCTTGTTTGCAGAAGGCTCTTAAAGCTAATATGTCTCCCTTCCGTGTTAAGCCTAAGTCTTGTAATTCTTCATCTTTGGCCAACGATATAGCTGCAATGTCCATCTAATAAAAAAATAAGAAGAACCATAGGGGTTATTTAAATTTAGTATTTACATATTAGAACTATAGATATATTTAATTCTTTATTGTTAAAATAAAAGCCATTATACTAACCCAGGAATACAAATTATACTAAATAATGGGAGACTAAAGACCATTATACTAAATCTGGAGAGACTAGAGGCAGGGATGGCCAGAGCTTTTTGGGGGCCCGGACCAAAATTGCAGGTCCATGCTTTTAGAGCTGTACATCCCAATTGCAAGCTGCTAGGCCATTAGCTGAATCGTGCGTAGATACTTCATTTGACCACCAGTCGGGGTTAGAGGTTGGGTTGGGTGTCGGGTATCTGCCCTGATACATAATAATAGAGGTCACACGAAGTATATACCAAATCGTGCTCAGTGATCACCACTGACCTGTGTTGATTGCAGGCTTGGGACCCTCCCAGGCTCAGGACCGGGGTTGATCACCACTGACCTTTGCAGATTACAGATTTGGGACGCGATGCCATATTTGCATTTGGCGCAATTGCAAAAAAAAGTACAGGTGAGAAAGAAAAACATAGTTTCGGTGATGGAAAGCAGTTTAACCACTTTGGTTAACAGCAGAATAAATTTATTAATTTTTGCTACATTTTGGTATTTGTTTGCATGCTTATTTAGTAATTGTTTGCATGTTTATTTTTTAATAGTACGAAGTGACTAGATGACCGGCAGCCGGCTATCTAGTAAACTGCCGGCTATATAGTGACTATAATTGAAGTTTAATTTTTATAAGATAAACCGTTCCCTAGCCTCAAACCCTCATATACACCTAACCTAACCTTTTGAGAGTTAAAAAGGCAGAGAAAAAATTTTAAGAAAAAAAGATGCTAAGTCAGACGTTAAAAATATGACCCGCCCCCGGCTGGGTTTCACTTTCCGTATGCAGCGCCTCTACCAAATGCACTAACGGCAAGTTCAGTTAAACTAGTGTAAACAAATGTTTTTATATACAACTATAGTCATCATATAGCTGGCAGTTTACTACATAGGTCATCTAGTCACTTTGTTTTTCGTATTTATATTGGCTTGCAAAATATCTGGTCACACTGCATCAAATGATCATCACAAACATTGAACTTTGTCATCAGAATAGACAATGATAGATAAAAATCTGCGACCGTTCATCTTTACTTAGCCTTCTTTAATAGTTGCAAGCGAAGGTACGTATTATATAAATTGCCCAATATAATCCTCGAAGACGAAGGGAAAGTTTGTAGAAGATAGCCTTATGTATTTTGACTTATTTTAATATTTGAAGGAGGTCATAGGTCATAATTGCCTTCTATTTAATATATTGAATGTTTAATAATTTTATACCTTTTCAACTTGGAAATTGCAGCATACTTCCTCTTGCACACTTCGGTTTTTTAAAAAATTGTATACCTGAAATTGTATACTAAATGAATAACTTACAAACAAAACATAAACATTATAATATAAATTATAAAATATATACCTGATCTATCTCCGACATCGCAGTGTTGACAGCAGACATTCTTGATAAGCAGCTTGCGTTTTTCACGTAACTAACCGGAAGTCCTAATTCGCAACCTAATTCGCAATGTAAGTCGCAACGTAAGTCGCAACGTAAGTCGCAACCCAAGGCGCAACCTAAGTAGCAAGTCGCAACGTACAAAATAAGAGGAACAATAAAATAGTAGAGAGACTATGTCCCTTCTGAGCCACCGTAGATAAGCTATTAAATGCGTAGTAAATGAATTTTCAAGTGTTTCTATTTGTATGTCTTAGTTTAGCGACCAGACCTGTACATTTGACAATACTTTTCAGAACTGAGCTAATTTGGATCTTCCATGTCAACTCTTCGTTAATTATAACTCCTAGAAACTTTACAAACGGCACTTGCTTAACCAAATATTATTTATTTTGATTGTATTTTCTGTATTCAAGTAAAGACTTATTTTTTTATTTAAAAATTACAAATTTTGTTTTTGATAATTTATTGATTGATAATTTATTGGCATTGAGCCATTTCACAACCTTATTCATTTCATTTTGTATTGTATTATACAACCTTTTCAAGCACAAATTTGAATAGAAAGCATTTGTATCATCTGCATATACAACCTCGTACCCTGGGTCTTACCTATGGGAAAGACCCTGGTTGGGACTGGTCACATGACTTTACAAAAATATATTGGCTAAGTGGGGAGGGCAGAGTAGCAAATTACATGCTTCCACAAACAATGATACACTTCCATTACAAGGAGTGGGTTGGAGCACAGGCGGCCCAATCTCTGAACATCCTATATATTTTGAATATTTAACCATTATATTTTAAAATAACAAAATAATTAAAAAAATATTAACAATATATGTAAAAAATATTAATATATGTAAAAAATATATCTCACTTGTTAATGGAATGCACTTGTTGTGTTTCTGAGTCTAGTTGATGCAATTGCTTTACATTTTCGTCGTACTCTGTTTGTTAAACTTTATTAAGTACAAATTAATTTAACAAATATTCATCTAACATACAATTAAAGAGCTGTTCTCAAACGGACAAGGCACAAACTGGACGTTAAGTCCATTGCATGGTGCCCCTCCTCTTCCTAACATAAACCTTTTAATTCGCAGTATACTGTATACAGGGTGTCCCAAAAAACCCAAAACCACTGAAACAACGCACTGCCAGAATCCAAACGTCTCAGTACCAACTGAACGCAAAGACACGTAAATATGATCGACATGATGCATATAATATGTACTGTATGTACTTGAACGGTTGTCAGTATTGGCACTGGACGACATGGCCATTATAGGACATAAATCCAATATCTCACCTCAAAATCATCGCAGAGCAATAAATTTCATGTCGCCTAATAGTATGAACATTCCTCTTTCGAAAGAACTTGGTGTGTTCACCTTTGAAACAAACTTTGTTTGCCTAAAATTCAAAATTAAATTTTCAACAGAACTGTTCACTACATGATCGTTGCCACGAGAGCAGCTCAGCAACCTGAATTTAGAATTGTAAAACCATGGTGACATGCATATTCTACATACATCAGGGCCTTGGTCGTTTCTTCCTTGATGTCCAGTTTGGAAGTCAAATGTGATGTTTTATTTGAGGTCTTCAACTTGATTCTGATAATGGTCTTGCTTCTTAATCGATCTTTGATAAACTTAGCATAGGCATCGGTTCCTTCTTTAATGCAATATAATACCATATTCACATTCACTTCCGTCACAATTTCCCCTGTTACCACGTTCTTAAGTGTGTTCTGATCTAGTATTGAACCACATACTTTAAGAAGATATGTATGTATTTCCTGAACCAATGCAGAAATCTTTGTTGTGGTACTCTGGTTAAAGTTGTGATGAAGTGACAACTCTCCTTCAACATCTTCTTGCATCTTTAGAAGATGAACATACTGGTCTTTCTTGTGTTTGATGATGTCCCACAAAGCTACTGCGTCTTTCTTTCTGGTCACCCCAATTATGCTGCCACTAACTTTTGCCAGTCGGTTGTAACACTGTTCCAGAGCTTTGTCAAATGGAACTCCATTTCCTTTCCTGTTACCATTCATAACGAATCCACCGTCCATGTATGATTTGTAGATGAGAGGAAACTTATCTTTCAGTTGATAGCAGTCCTGTAGAAACATTGGTGACCATCTACAGTAGTTTGTTCTGCCAAAGAAGAAAAACAGTGAAGTTGCTCTCTCAACAGCACTAAGGTACAATGTAAAATTCTCCAGAATGCATGGAATTCAAAAGGTCTCTTGCTATTGGGTAAAGGTCAGAGACATATGTGTTCCAAAAAGCAAAAGACTTGGATTTTGAATGCATTTCTTTTAGGTATAGCTCAAAGTCTTCTTCTGTGGCTTTAACTCGTTCTTTCATGGCATTCCATATTTCACCACCAAAGTTAATGGGTTGACAATTAACCACAAATCGCTAGACTTTCATTTCTTTCTTCGGGTTTTCCGCCATAAACGCTTCAAACATCATCAACATTAGCACTTCATGTATCATTGAATGGGCAGTGCAAGCTCTAGAGCAATGGGAACCGGAGATTACACTGTTAATGGTATCCAGTCCATAACACTCAGTCTTGACTAGAACAGAAAAAATCCCCAATGGTTCCAAATACACACCAAGACACACAAGAATAATCTTCTCCATATGAAATCCCCCAAGGCCAAGAAATATGTTACTGAACTGTTCTGGTTTTAGAAGCTGTATTTCCTTCTCACTATACAATAAACACCCTTGTCAGCCCATAACCCACCATAAAAATCACCTTTCTGTTACAGGGCATCTTGATAGTTGATCATGGTGGTTAGAATTGCATTGTATGTGGTAGCTGGATATGGAAGGATTGGAGTTAAAATCCCGGGACAACATAGCCCATCTCCACTGCCTTTCCATTTAAGCACTTCACCAACCAAAGGAAATTGTCCAAACGTATCGATTTCATTGACAGTTTGCAAAGGCTGATTGATGAAACCTTTGTCGTTGAAGATGAATCAGTTGACGTTGATGTTACAGAGGTGGATTCTGTTGTTGAGGTGCCAGTTGCGGGTGTTCCAGACATTGAAGGATTGTTTCTTTCTGTAAAGGTTGAATACGGATTGAAAACAGACTCCAATACTTCGAAATTCTCACCTATTTGTCCATGTTCTTTCATTGCTCCCATTCTGATAAGCTGTTCACAACTGACTTTAGATCTAAGCTTTACTGTAGTCCTGCTCTGAGTGGAAAAAGGTTGTGTTGATGTATCACTTTCGTCTGATGGATTTTCTTTGTTGGTTGGGACATTCTGGAAAAGAACAAGAATGGTGTCATGTGTGGAACCTGTGCCGACAAGTGTACTTGTCATTACAGTTATCCATGGCTGTGTTGAGTGAGTTTGATGATTCTAGGACAGGAGGAAGTGGTATTCTATTGTCACCTGCGGTGGATATTATCTGTTCCGCGATGCCAACATCAATCAATTCTCTTAACCGTGTTGTAGCTAACACAAACACCATGGCGATTGAGGGCAGTTACAAGCTCTTTAGATCTTGTCACACTGTGAACTCCTTCAGCAACCATGGCATTGAAAAGGGGTCGGTTCTTTTCCACCACTCATTATATAGTGCAGGATTTGGAAAACAACATCTCGTTTTACCTGGGAGATGAGCTTCGACTTGAATAAAAAGGAACAGAATTCTTCCCATTTTTCTGGTGGGTTCTTCAGAAGTATGTCTGTTGATAGTTGAAGGTCCCTGGGTTCACAAGAGCTCCGTTCCAGGCCAAGCTTGTAATCTTTTCGCTCTTGTGCAAGTTCGGTTGCAACTTGTTGGACAGGTAAAACTCGCCGCATAGACTCCAACAAAGATGCAGGATTACTCTTCACAGAAAATACCATTTGAGAGATTCTCTTACTGGTAAGGGACCCTATGTTTACAGCTCTGTTCGCAACTGGTACTGATAAATGTTCATTTAGTCGCTCTCTGATAGAAAAGTTAGGCCGCATGCAGTTGTGATAAAATCAAGTCACAGAGCTAAAAACTGCTCCTTGAATGATTCGTCTCTAGCGGTTATGGAAGGCTTTTTAATATTTCTTCTATATCAGCATTATATTTGTTGAAATAATCTTCACAACAGTGGGCGCGATTAGTAGAGATCAGCCGCTATAAACATCTTCGAGTTCATGCACTGCCGCTGTGGCTGTATAAACACAAACTTGGCAGCATTTTTGAGCCCTCTGCTTTTCACAAACTCTCAATAATTTGTTTATTTCCTTTTGCTTAATGGTTTTACGATCTGAACCACATATTACACAGGTGTTAATAACAGAACTCGACTTAAGCCTTTTGCTGCGTCGCTCATGTTCGGAAGTGCTGCTGTCCATAGATATCGGTTCATGTGTCTCCGACTGATTTACAGGGTTTCTTTTCTTTTCCATATCTCTCTGAAAACTTCTGTAGCATGATGATGAATGGTATTTGATGAGCTCCTGTACTTGTGCTGTTAGTTCTAGAAATTATCATTACCTTCATCCTCTTTCGCAAGGGCAACATTACGCCAGTTTCTCCACTTGATAAGTATTCAGACAGAATCTTTGTCTGGCATAATATGCATTCATCCAGGTTGACTGATGATTTTTTGCATGTACCTGTGGAGTAAATAGAGAAGTATCTCATCCTGAAATTAAATTATTTTTCAATGTATGGGATACCTATAAAGCTAATGTTGCGTATGTCCGAGAAATTGACAATGTTTTTGACGCAAAAAAATTCTGTGAAGCCCAAAAAAATTATTATGAATAATCGCCTTTATGTAATTTTAAAAATTTTGGGTCCGCAGAATTTTTTTTATTGTCAAAATAATTGATTATACTAAGAGAAATAATTTTTTAAAATAAAATTTGGGGGTCACCGATGTCGTTTACGAGTTAAATTACTTTAAAGCCAAAATATCCGCCATCTTGAAACATTATTGTTGCCATAGCAGCGGCAGTTGTGTAACTTTTGTGCAAAAATCCAAACTTGAAAAACACTAATACGATGTTGTTTTATATAAGTAAGTCACTTTTTGTTTATCAACAAGTAATAATTGTCCAAATATACGCATTGAAATCGTGAATTTTCCATTTTTTAAAAACTGTATTGAGCCACCTTTCACTGTTGCGTTTTTCATACATATGTATACACACGTAAAACTTTTTCAAATAAATAAAGCAACAGAATTTAGTGTTCTGCAAGTTTGTTAACTTATTTGTAAAATATTTAAAAAATAGAAGGATTCAAAGTTTTACGTACATGTACGTGCATACGAAAAACGCAACAGTGGAAATCAGCCTTTGGTATTTGGTACAACTAATTTTGGTGGCATTTTGCACCATAGCGCTCGTGCAAGGAAGCAAAAAACTTTAAATTCTTATGTTTTCTCATATGTATTGACAATTGCCACAAACTGAGACAAACACAGTTTTTAATCCAGCCCCCCTCGGCAATCTGACGTCTGAGTTAACAAAAACATCGCTATTAATTGAAATAGTCCTTCCTAGTCCCTTCCTATATTAATTTTGAGGATAAGAAAAGATAGATAAGAAAACTTGTACTTCTCTTTTATTACCAATCAGATTTTTAATGTCAGAGACAGAGTAAAGAAATCTAGCTAGGTCTGAGAGCTGAAATGTACATATTCTGTATAGCATACCCCTGAAATGACAGTGCAAAAGCCCGAGATTTTGTTGTCGTTAATGCTTAAAGGAATCCATAACAATATACCGTAAAAATACGCAAATATTTATTGTTTTTATTATAAATCATACTTGGGTTGCTGTGGTGGCAAACAAACGTTTCGTCGAAATATTCAATTGAATGTTCAGACTTTTGTATCACTTATACCATTTTACAACTTATATAATACATCACCAGTTTCATCACTATATATCTATATTATAAATCAAGCTTCACCAACATCACAGTCCATGCACCATCATAACATAATTCACTAGATTCATCATTTTCCACACTACTCCATTCTATCAGTCACATTGATTCGAAAGGTTCACTTCATTTCATTTCCCTCCACACACCATTTGATGTTCACCCAATAATATGTCCCAACAAGTCAGAAGGGCCATTTCACAGCATTCCAGGATCTGAATACCTGCAACAACCTTTTCGATCCAATTCTAAAAGAAAAACAATAAACAATTTGCTATGTATTGGCAGGAAAAAGTTAAGCATCAAGAGATCTCCTGGTTAATTAATTTAATTAATAAACAAATAAATAATGGCCACATGGGCTGAACAATGAATCGAATAATAAACTTGTTAACAGATTCATAACCAGTTTTCCACATCAACAGACCTTCTCCACATCCAACCTCATAAAAACATATGAGGTTCATGTCCATGTAAAACACTGCAACATATTCACTCACAATGCAACCCAAATTCCATTTATCAGGATTTTAGAAGACATCCATCCAGGTAAATTCAAAAATGGATGCTAAGCACAGTCAGATTGGATTTGAAATAGAGGCGCTACAATGTTTACTCATTCTGTCAGACCCAGACTTTGAAAACAATCAAATCACTAAGACACCATCAGACTCACCATCCACCACAATGACCAACCCAATTCCAATTCTCCCAAAATTCACCACACCTGTTGATACACCAACCAGCACATCACACAGTCACAACACCATAGACACAACCCCAACCTCTACCCAGACCCAGCCTAGTACCCCAACCCAGTCTCCAACCACCATCCCATCCACAGGCAAAGACACCTTCACCCTAACATCCCAGACTACATCCCAACCAATCATACCACAAAATCCACAAACACATCAAACCATCACCACACCTCAAGCACCTATCACTCCCACCAACACACACCACACAACCACCATATTCAACAAACTTGTTGAACTCAACCACCGCAAAAATTACCATCAACGACAATTGACCATCCTTAACAAACACCTAACAAACCACACAGCACCAGCGGGTCTCGACATCAGTGTTTTTTCTCCAACTGGACTAAGCCCTCACGCCAAAACAACAATACGATCAGTGAAATCAAACACGAACGTACGTATGCTAAACTATAACGTAAGCGAGCAAGAAGATGTGATTGCAAATTTAATGAATTTGCCCGTAGCTGAAGATGAAACCAAATTAGTTCCGATTGTTAAGGTACGTTCTTTTTATAAACTTCAATTCCATGATTATATAAATTGTTTCTCAAAATTTATTTACATCTATAGATATTCGTTGGTTATACAACCAGAGTAATTGAACACGAATGCGAGGGAGTAGAAAAGAGTCTTGTGAAAAATCTGGCTGCTAAGGACTACAAAACTGCGTCACATGCAGCATTTAACCATCCAAATATGAAAGTTTTTTGCTTAAGAAATTTTATGCTGAAGCTCGGACTGAATTAAAGAACTATTCCAAAATGAAGTTGTCCGTTTTCCGTTTTGATGATTCTTTTCAGAAGCTTGCCGAGTATAAAGGGATTGACTTGATAAACGATTGTCAGGCAAAATTACCTCTCACGTACGGTTTTGTATCGAACATTGCAAGTAAAAAATCTCAGAAAACAGCTATGAGCAAGAAAGTGCTTGCATTGTCATCAGTATTAAACAGTTGGATTCCGAAGTCAAAATTTGTGTATAGGTGTAATGTTATACTTACTGCCGGTGGATGTAAGAAAGCAGAGATCGAAACGTTTCACAAGCTTGGTAAGTACATAAATTATTAATTTCAATATCTTGAAATTCAGCACCACAATGAAATCATGAAAATGTAGCCTCGTTACAAGAGCATTTTAAATCTTTATTTGGACGGTACACAGGCTCCACGTTTGTTACTGCCTTACTGAAATTGTTACCACTTTTGTAACAATTTCCATGCGTAATACAAAAATTTTCAAAATTTACAAATTTCACAGGGCAACATTTTGTACACTTTACAACATTTTGCAACCAAACTTTACAATTTCACTAATTTCATTGCGTCCTTTTACGCTGTGGTGATTGATTCCTCTTTATTTGCCTATATAAACTAAAATTTAGTGTATATAGGAAAATTGCCCATTCGTTATTTATAGTAACTGCAGAGCAACCAGACGTGAAGTTGAGTGTGGAATGTACATAGGCTCACATATACATAAAAAGTAAAATTTAATATTAAACGTCAATAATGTAATTTTTATGCATTTTAATTAAATTAGGTATGGGCAGTCATCCTCGTACAGTGAACAACATGCAAGACAAAATGTCACAATTGTTTGACCAAAATGTACTTGTGTGGAAAAATGAAATTGTGAAATCGTTTTCTGAAAAAAGGTTTCTTCAGAAGTCGTTGAAGCGCAGCACAATACGGACATAGAAGATGCCATGGAACTATGTACCATCAACCTCAACAAGGATGCTGTAGAATCATGTGAAAGTTACACAGAGGACTTTACAATGGATGCATGTCCAAATTACCTGTCAGTGATTCGAATGTTTATGATGTAGGAGAAGTTTTAAAGATCATCATCAGCAGTTATAATAACCAAGATAGGAGATACAGGTACATTTCTCAGGCTGTACAGTATTTTAACATGCAGGGATTTAATTTGCATGTACATAAAGATATCTTGGCAAGCCCAATTACAATGTAACACATAATATCATTATTATACAAATAAATGATACTTTGGTATATTAGGGATATAAAAGTTGTTTTTGGTGAGTATGGTATGTTGCATATTATTAGTAAAATGCTAACTGCATTGTATGTTAAGATTTTTTTATTCAAATGTAGGATAGTTGGAGATAACTGGGATATAGACGTGAAGTCTCGAAGTCAAACAACTACAGTAAAAATGAACAAATCACTCCACTATTTTCATATGTATGCTGTAGCTGACAGAGTTTACCAAGAGAATGCAAGCAGGTCCAAACCACAAAAGAGTATCAAATCATTAAGTATGGATGAGTTTCTTCCAACACCTGTTGTTCAAGAAGCATTTGTTGAAGATTTGACTTATATCATTCCTCATATATTGGTAACCTATTTCAAATCATACACACCTTTACGTAAAGCAGTGACCAAACACATTGTTCATCCACATAGTGAGGCAGGGCCGTACACAGAGGGGGGGGGGGGCGGGGCAGCAGGGGAAGTTGCCCCCTAGAGAAATCTAAACTTGCAATTTTCAAATAACCGTAAATAATATAATTCTTTGGCTAGTTCAAACATTTGAAATTAAAGAACATGTTAGGTATGTGATGTATAGTGCGGTGTAAAATAAAATAATTGAATTTTATTTTATTTATTTTGTTCATATATTTAAGGCTTAAAATTTAAGCGATTTAGATTTTAATTAATTTCGAGCTAACTAGGTACCAGACTACCAACCAGCATCAAATCTTTCGGCCAGCCACCATATTGTGTTGATTCATGCTCAAAATCTCATGAGTCACACTCGAATGCTCTTCAGTTATTTTAAAATTTATATATAATGGAGCCAAATGCTAAAAGGCAAAAACTTCATCAAACAACTCTGTTATTTAAACCAGCCAGTGCTAGTTCAACCAGGTATAAAGAATATAATTTATGTGCTTTAATATTTTTGTTCTGTGACTTTCAGACTTTGCAAGTTGAAGTTTTATTTGCTAAATAGTATTAAATAAATATCATGCTGAAGTGACTATAAAGTGAGCCAGGATTATAAATTAAATGTAAATAAAATAAGATCATCTGCTAGTGCTGGACATTAATATTAAATGAGTATTTCTGTACATGTAATTGCTTTGTTCTGAAAATTGTTATAAATGAATTAACATTTTAATTTTATATAATATATGTAATATATATTGTAAATACGGGTAAATGGTAATGCTGCTTCGCAGCAAACTAGCTAAGCCTATAATCTAATAATCCCTATATATTATAAACCATAATAGCCTATGAGGCCATAGCAATGAAAGTCTCTGTTTTGCATTCACTAAATTTTCAAATCACATGCGGCATTTTTTCATTATTTGTCTTACGGCCGGTGCTTCCACTTTCAAATCAAAATTTCCTCTTTTCCTAATGAAATTTCCTTAAATTTCCGAGAAATTTCCTGGAAGCACCAAACTAAGATTCGAAAATAAGACGTCTTGTCGTCGAAATTATCGAACCACAGATACAATGTTTATATCAATGCAAAATAGGGCATTTTACTGCTGTTTGGCATTAAGTGTATTTTTGCAAATAATGATTTTTTTCTCGATAATGAAATTTTTACGTGGTAGCTTTGGGAGCATGTGGGCGGTGAACGCAAATCAGAGACTATCATTCCCATGGCCTAAAGGGATTGATTCGAAGTATGATATTTCTTTTAATTGTTCTTTCTGCTTTTTGCATAGGCCTTTTATTCACTCATATTCATTTACATTGGTTTAGAAAAATAACAAAAATTGTTTATATACATGTGTGTTCTGTGCTTGTTATTTATTTTATTGATAATTTATGTCCGTATCTAACTTCCCCATCTCCTCTATAAAATTATTACTTTTCATCATAGAGGTCACCTGTCTCGATTAGCCCATATGGTTATTACAGGTGGCCTTCACTCCCAGCTGATAATAATAAGAATAACTTTCTGTATATGAGTGAAAATAAATTGTTTGTTTGTTTGTTTGTTTGTCTGCCTGCCTCCTTGCCTCCTTGCCTGCTTGCTTGTTGTTGTTGTTGTTGTTGTTGTTGTTGTCGGTTGTCGGTTGTCGGTTGTCGGTTGGTTGTTGGTTGTTGGTTGTTGGTTGTTGTTGTTGCAGAATTATTTAAAAGTAATTTAAAATTCATGAATACAATACTCATTTAAATTAATATATAATGTAAATTCAATAATTATACATATTCATGTCTATATTACATCATCTTCACATCTGTTCTTGTTTGACAGTAATGGACACACTGATTTTAGTCTTTGTAAATACCACAATCCCATAAGACCAATATAAAAATATGTTAATATACCGTCTGTTGGTAGAAGATCTAGACCAGTTGTACAATTTATTAATATAATCATGATATGTAAATTTTTAATTATTTATACAATCATTGAAACTTTAGAAATATACTGTCAAATGTACTGTCAGCCCTGACCTTTAACCATGTATGAATACTGTAGTTAAACTTAATAGATTAACATGGCTTCTCTCCTCTCTCTATGCTCTAGCCTTACACTCTGGACTTTGAATATTCGCCATTCCATTTGGATAATACCCAAGCCAATAAGCCATACTGATGAGTATAAAGAAAAAACATATTAACTCATTAAGCGGCAAGCTGTTACACTGTTTCTACCCCCCTAAGGCGCAAGCAATATGGCGAATATGTGATTGAATTCAAGAGCTTTCACCAAAATGGCAATATCTCAGAAACAGTTGCATAAAAAAATCTGATCTTTTCAACCAAACATTAGTGATATATGATTGACCAAATTTAGTTTAAATGACTTTGTATACCTACATATATCATTAGTTTTTTCAATGAGAATTTTTATTTGTAAAGCAGTGACACTTTGTTTTTCATGTCACTCATCACCTAAAGGGGCAATATCTCCATAAATTTATATAAAAACCAAAAAAAAAAATCATTTACTAAATTAGTACATATCTATATTATAACTAATTTTCATCTTTTGGGATATGAATTAGAAAACGATCAAAATTATAAAAAATACTCATTTGCTTTTTTTGGGCAAGATATTTACAACATGAAATTTAGAACAGTAACTAAGTGTTCAAATTCAACAAAATGTGCAAGCCAAAACACAGTGCTTGTTCATCTTTGGAGTTTTTAATTACCTCAAATATATTTAAAAGGACATATGGTACTAGAATTTATTTATTTTCAATATAAACCAAGGATGGGAAGGTGAGAAAATAAGAATTTTCTGAGGTGTTTTTAACACAGACAATGACAGCCGACATTTTCAAAGGCAAATTGCGGTGACAAAACCAAAAGTTATTCACTTCTCTACTCAAAGCACTGAAAAACAGCATAAAGAGAAAAACATTTTAAACATACATCAGGTAAGCCTTTTAGCTCAATTTTCTCATGTTTCTGTTTGGAAAGAAACGGTTTTTAGCCAAAATTATTTTGCGCACCAATGTAGGCTGCTATAAAATGTCAGACACGCGTTCTCTTTTGAAGTCTGGCTCTGAAAAACAATCGCTTTTTTTTAGTTTGAAATAAGCTTTCATTAGGACTAATTGTGTAGAAATGTTATCTGTATGCTCAAATGAAAAAGATAACCTAATAGTCAGGTATTCAACGTAGCTATAAAAGGGTGAAATAAGGACTTTCATCTT